GGCACATGGTAAGAACACCCGTTCATGCGCACCCGCTCAGCACTGTATCGATGCCAGGCACATGGTAAGAACACCCGCTCAAGTGCACCCGCTGAGCATCCATGCCAGGCACATGGTAAGAACACCCGTTCAAGTGCACCCGCTTAGCACTGGTAAGCACACCCGTTCAAGGGCACCTGCTTAGCACTGTATCGATGCCAGGCACAAGCATTGTGTCCATGCCAGGCACATGGTAAGAACACCCGTTCAAGCGCGCCCGCAGAGCGCTGTATCCATGCCAGGCACATGGTAAGAACACCCGTTCAAGTGCTGTATCGATGCCAGGCACATGGTAAGAACACCCGCTCAAGTCTGTATCCATGCCAGGCACATGGTACGAACACCCGTTCAAGCGCACCCGCTTAGCACTGTATCGATGCCAGGCACGTTCAGAACGCTCACTCAAGTGCACCCACATGCACCCGCTTAGCAGTGTACCCATGCCAGGCGCATGGTAAGAACACCCGTTCAAGCGCACCCGCTCAGCACTGTACCCATGCCAGGCACATGGTAAGAACACCCGTTCAAGCGCACCCGCTTAGCACTGTATCCATGCCAGGCACACGGTAAGAACACCGGTTCAAGCGCACCCGCTCCTGCCAAATTGCAAACTTGCCCGCTCAGCTGCACCCGCTCGCTCTGCTGCCAAATGACAAGCACGCCCGCTCACGTGCACCCGCTCAGCACTGCACACATGCTTGCCAAATGGTGAGCACACCCGCTCACCTGCACCCGCTCAGGACTGCGCCCGCGCCTGCCAAATGGTAAGCACGCCCGCTCAAAGCGCACCCGCTTAGCACTGTATCGATGCGAGGCACATGGTAAGAACACCCGCCCAAGTGCACGTGCTGAGCATCCATGCCAGGCACATGGTAAGAACACCCGTTCAAGTGCACCCGCTTAGCACTGGTAAGAACACCCGTTCAAGTGCTGTATCGATGCCAGGCACATGGTAAGAACACCCGCTCAAGTGCACCCGCTCAGCATTGTGTCCATGCCAGGCACATGGTAAGAACACCCGTTCAAGTGCACCCGCTTAGCACTGCATCGATGCCAGGCACGTTCAGAACACTCGCTCAAGTGCACCCAAGTGCACCCGCTTAGCACTGTACCCATGCCAGGCACATGGTAACTGGTAAGAACACCCGTTCAAGCGCACCCGCTTAGCACGGTACCCATGCCAGGCACATGGTAAGAACACCCGTTCAAGCGCACCCGCTTAGCACTGTATCCATGCCAGGCACACGGTAAGAACACCCGTTCAAGTGCACCCGCTCCTGCCAAATTGCAAACTCGCCCGCGCAGCTGCACCCGCTCGCTCTGCTGCCAAATGACAAGCACGCCCACTCACCTGCACCCGCTCAGCACTGCGCCCACGCCTGCCAAATGGTAAGCACGCCCGCTCACGTGAGCCCGCTCAGCACTGCGCCACATGCCTGCCAAACGCTCCCTCATGCGCACCCGCTCAGCACTGTACACATACCCGAGACCCAAGGCCCAAGATCCGAAACCCGAGACTCGAGACCCGAAGGCCCGAGACCCGAGACCCCAGACCCGAGACCCGACACCCGAGACCCGACACCCGAGACCCGAGACCCGAGACCCGAGACCCGAGACCCGAGACCCCGAGACCCGAGACCCCGAGACCCGAGACCCCCCGAGACCCGAGACCCGAGACCCGAGACCCGAGATCCGAGACCCGAGACCCGAGACCCCGAGACCCGAGACCCGACACCCGAGACCCGAGACCCGAGATCCGAGACCCGAGACCCGAGACCCGAGACCCCGAGACCCGAGACCCGAGACCCAAGACCCGAGATCCGAGACCCGAGACCCGAGGCCCGAGACCCGAGATGCCAGGGTCAACAGCAAAGGAATCCCCGGTTGCGTGACCCAGAAGCAGACAAAGGGAACCATGTCGCTTTCGTTGCCTCACCAAAAGAGACAGGTTGCACCTACAGGCCTGCGGGACCGCTTGGCCTATGGGCTTCAACACCTTCTGCAAACCGCGGCGGGTTTGAGTAGGTTCTTTTTTTGAGGCTCCCTCTATCGAACTCCAGAAAAGGGAACCCCAGAAAGACGACTGGTTTGGCCCGCGGGGACCCCATGTTGTCTATATGGGTGTGTCTTTCTTGACTCATGTTTTTGTGGTTTCAACCATCAAAGGCTGAAAGGAAAACCACAAGCTTGGGTGGCCCCTAAAACAAGGACACAGCAAATATTGGGTATTTGAAGGCTTGGCTGGGGACAACTAGTTACTGAAACAAACTTGTGGGGAGCCCCCCTTTCTCCATGCAAGCCTGAGCTGAGTCATTCTTCGTGGTTGAGGGGTTTGGTTTGGGTGGCTTCGTTCATGCAGGTCATAGGTACTAGAAGCATCTACAAAACGGAAAACAGGGAATTTCGGCGCAAAGTGCCATCCAAGAAAGCAAAGTACCGCGTCTGTACTGGCAACTTCCCTCTCTTGCCAACAGCAAAAATCCTTTCTGGGACCACCATTTGCAAATTCAAAGTGAGGAAGCCCCAATGAAACCATGGGTGAGCTTGCCTTAACCCCAGTTGAGCTCGCTATAATTGGCCAAGGTGGTTGGCCCCTTGCCAAATAGGGAGCTACAAGGACTGGCGATCTGTGAGCAGCAGGTCATGTTTTGCATCCGGCTCTTGGTTGCCAAATATGATATCTGTTCTGGCTGTTGGCAAATTTTAGATGCAATGCTATTTTCCCTGGCTGTTAATCAAGACTGATGGCTTGTTGGCTGCCATGTTTCATCTGGAGACGGATGCATGGCATAGCTAGCAAGATGACTGCACAAACTGGTTGCTGTGTCTGCGCATGGAGCCCGGAAAGTCATCATTTGTACAGGAACTGCCACAACCGAGGCATGAAATGAACATCACCTTGGGCGAATGCCAGCGTTGATGGGCATTTCCTTTCGCCCTTTAAAAGCAAAGAAACAATAAACAGCGACAAAACACATGTCGTCTTAAGCTGACAACAAAAAACACAAAACAATATCACCTGCCAAGTGAAAACGTGGGCTCAGCACAAAAACCCGCCTGCCACTGCCGCTGTTGCTCCTCCGACACCGCGTGCAAGCGCTGACGCATGAGCTCCTGGCACCCCTGCTGATGGATGACTGTGCTAACTTCATGACCCTTGGTGGGTGTGACTCAAAATTTAAGAGGTTTTAGTCTTTGGTTCCATTTACCAAGGGGGCCATTCTACATGTTTTTGAGCCACAGCCCTGGTATGATTGCAAACAACTTTGTTTCTGAAGGCCTGCTAAAATTGAACAGCACCAAAACATTTTGCCGAGAGCAGTGAGGCATCCCCAGTCGGCAGACCCGGCTTTGAAGTCTTTCTGAAACAGAAGGATTCTGAGAGCCAATTGGGGGGCTTGGATGAAGTGTCTGGTCAACCAATCTGTTTCATGGACCTCTAGCGGGGGGGTTAGATGAGAGGACAAGAGCAAAGCCCAAGGCATTACAAGGGACTGATGGAGTCAAAGCAACTGATTGCATGAAGCCCTTCCACGCAATGGCAATGCAGCCTGCTAAAAGGCGGCCCGTTTACCCCCCCATAGCCATGTACTTTGGGCCTTGGCCCCTTCCACACATGAGTTCCCTTTGGGGCGTGCAATAGGGGTACCCCCTTTCAATCTGTCACCCACAATTTCCGCAATCATGACTCAGCGGCAACTGAGACCAGCACCCATTTCGATTCGTCGGTTGAGTCCGTTTTTGGCGGGAAAACCGCGCAGCAAATGGAGATGCTTCCAGGGATTCATCCGAAGACGGTGAAATCCACTGCACAACTACCACTGAAGAATCAGGAGATCATGTCCATGTCGAGGAAATCCACTACCAAGGGAAAACTAGATGCTTAGCCACATGCCACATAGTGGTAAAATAGTGCCGATAAAACAATGCCAATTTATGGATCCCCTTTGTTTTCCTTTAGTCTATGGTGGTTGAAGTTGCTGCCGAAATCCAAGTGTGGATGTCCCCGCTTTGGAAAGCGCAACATGAGTGCGAAAAGAGTGCGGAAGCGCGAAGGGAGTGCAGGAATTAGGTGGCCTCCACTGTCCACAGTTGAGGCATCTAAAATTACTCTACAAAACAAGGTTTTAACGTTGTGTGTAGAGTCCTGGCCACTGAAATAGGTTCTCTGTTTGGTGAGTTCCGATTTTTGCTGCGGAACAGGAAATTCAAGGCTTGGCGTGCAGCGTTTAGTTTTGGAGGGCCAAGCAAGGCTTGAAGGCGCTCAAATCAAAATTGGCCAAAAAGGCATATATCATGAAATCCGCTGAGCAACTCCTTTCTGGCTTGACCCCAATTTCCATGCAAGAACCCCGAAACAACATGGGAATTTGATCAGTGTTCTGTAGGCCATGGTCCCATCTGCCACCCTGCCTGGACCTGTGCCACCTTGGCCGCCGCTGGTGCGTCGGCGCCCGGGGGGCCGTGCAACACGCTGTGGGGTGAGCCCAGCACCGCCTGCAGGCGAGCGAGCGAGCGGCGGCACCGAGGGCTGAGTGGCACTCGTTTTTGGAGTCGGGATTTTGAATTAAAAGCCAAAACGGAATTTTGGAGTTGAACTAAAACATGTTGGTTTGGAGGTCGAGTCTGGAATTCAAAGGACATGTTCATCGGTCGCATTGCGGGGTTCTTCCAGAGAGATTGACAGTTGGTCAGGGTGCTGGGGAACAAAAAGTGTCGTGTAGTTACTCTGCGGCAATATGTGCTTAGACTACTTTGTCTGCACTAGCCAGTGGTGTAATGCATTATGGCCTTTTGGCCGGTAACGTTGCCAGACTTGAGTCAAACAATGGGAGAACAATTCTACCCGTGAATAGTGCCCAAAGGGAAACAAAAAGAAGGCCAGCCAGCTAACGGCGGCCGAATTCTATGCTGCTAAGACACACATTCAGCAATTCAGCACTCAGCGGAGTGAGGCTTCAAAGTGACTCCCCCAGCGAACATCCCAATCCCACTAAAATAGACTAAAATGGGTGGTGAATTCACCTACCAACCAAAATGGGATCCCATCGGTTTTGACCCACAGCCATATACCTTAGATGTGAAAGGTAAAGCAGCCCGCGAGAACACGCAGGGCTTCTCGAAGTTTCGCTCTCATGGCCCAAAAGCTGATAGGTTCAACCACCAGAACGGATGGAGTGAGCCCAGAATCATGGTGCTTCAAAGTGAAACACAACCCAAACACAAAATAATGAACTCAGGCACCCCTCACACAAACCCCAACTTTCTGAGTGGATTGGCCAAAACCTCGACTTGCCTTTACCACTAAAGCTGTTTTCCCAACATGTTTCAAGTCCAGAAACTTTGGCAGCGAAGGTCGCGGGCTTCAGTCATTCCCCGCCGACTGGCCTCCGACAAGATAAAAGGGATCTAAGAATTCACCCCCTCAAAACGCCCAGTAAATTTCCATGAGCAAAACGGACACCTTTGGATTTTTTGAAGTGACACCCTTCACCAAACACTTAGGCCACCACTTGCTCAAGCCCCCTGTGAAAAACAAAATATGTCGAGTAGTGATAGGTTCCCTTTAAAACCAACAGGGGAACATGACAAAACATCTTAAGCAAATAGAAAAGCAAGCCATGGCGGACGCCTCTGGCAAGCAAACCGACCCCCCCCCCCCCCACCCCCCCAACCCCACCCCGGCCCTCCCCCCGCCCGCGCCAAAGCGGCGCCTCCCCGGCCGTGCGGGTCACCGAGCTCCCGCGGCTCGGGGGCGGCAGCGGCGACATGGGCGCGCTGGTCATCGTGGTCTCCCCCGGGCCCCGTGCGCCTCGGGACCCAAAGTTGCGGCGTTACGACTCAGCGGGCTGCGAAACCTGCAGCGGCCATGCGGAAAAGGGCAGCTGAACTTGGGTGGGCGTTAAACTTTTTGTTTCTTGCTAAAAAAATATATGTCCAATCACAAGGGAAAGCAGCACGCCTTTTGTTTTGCACATGAGCCAAACAAATTGGCCGGCTCCTGTGAGTAAGTGTAATTAGCACCCTACATTGCCAGTAAGAACTCAAATTGAAAGCTCTAAACAATGCAAGTCCATGAATCGCCCAGCCCAGTGACCCTGGCACATGGGTCATGAGCCCAGTGATCCTGGTACGGGGGGGCATGCCTTTGTGATTGGTTGATTCCATGCGGTGAACCCCACGGTCTCAACATGGGCGGAAACCCACAAAACGGGTAGCTTCCCTGCAAGGATGTCCTACACCAGAGAGGGGCGTTTTTGGAAAGTTTAGCCACCCACCCCATTCAAAATCAAACAAACGGGAGGAATTCTGGTGGAAAAATGGAATTGACGGCGGGGGTCGATGCCCCTGCCAGCAAATCGAGGCGCTGTTCATAGCCATCTGCTCCCTCAAGGCTTGTCCATACTTCTCCTCGCTCAGATTGGCTCGCTTTGGGTCGCGCCAAGCCAGTTGGATATGTTCTAACATCCCATGCTTACATCAATCAATCACCCTTGGGTTCCTTTTTGAAGGAGGTCAGGGCTGGGTTAGCAATATTTTATCATATTTTGCTTAACCCGTGCTGTCAGGGTCTGGTTGATAATACATCTTTGACTCCCGGATCCCTGTCGTGGCTGAAGGGGTGGGCTGTGGGTAGTTCTGCGCCAGTTCTCTTGGCTGGGGTGAGGATCATGCCGCATGGGCAAAACTTCGCCGCAAGCAGTGAGGAGGTTCTTTCAGGGCAGGGGCCGGAGCCTTCTGAGGTCATGCAACATCTTCTGATTGGCCTTCTCTCGGAAAAGCTCTCAGGATACTCCACCTGCATTGGTTTTGCCAAGTTCCAAACTGGCACCGGGTTTCTGAATACAAGTTCCCAGTCGAAACAATCGGGAAGGGAAGAAAAAACTCAGATAGGCTGCATATGCTGAAGCAGAGAAAGCGGAACGTGGGAAGACAGGAGTGATGCTGAGAATGCTTCTGATTGTGGGACGTACATGCTGTTTGGGATTCCCTGCCCCCTCGTGGCATATGTCACGAACTCCTCACTCAAAAGCAACTGAGTCCCACGGCATGGAGGTGGAGGAAGCTTGCTCGGGGAGTGGCAGCCAAGACCAATTGGTCCGTAAACCCCAGCTCTGAGGGCGCGTTTGAAAGCGGCCTCCAAAGAAAGCATCCTCGTGGCACACATATTTGTGTTATCCATAGGGGAGGTATTTCCCACGTTGAAGCAACCTAATATGCCCATCCATCCATGACGTCTCGGATCGAAACTCTCAGAAGAAAAGAAACAAATCAGCACTGGAAGCCAAATACACCACCCCCGCAAGGATGGAAAATCTAGGTCTTGTATGAGACACAAGGCGCCGATGATATGGTTGCCCCTTGTGAAGTGGTGACATGAAGGAAACGGTTGACCCTTGGATCAGCCTCCCATGAAATTTGCGTTCCTTGAGTGCCGCGGCCTTAGGTTTCCTCCCTAAGGGGGTTCCCTGATGGAGGGAGCAGCCAGCCACCAGCTCCTTCTTCTCGACCTCGATGCGTCGATCCAGCGGATCCCGGCCTGCGCTCAGAGCCAAACCAGCGAATTTCTCCGCCTGTATGTGGGGCAGTCACGGATGACGGGATGACCAACATGCGGAAAAATGGGACATCTTTCACCCAGCTGTAGTCCAAGAACCTCGTTCGCGGGCTTGACATTTAAGACCATCCCCTTGTCCTTTGCAACAACTGCGCCACCCCTAACTGGGAATAGGAATAGCGCAATGCGTGCACATGCGCAATCAAATCACCTGTGTCAACCACACGGCCGAAATCAGTTGCGCTCGAAACCCGAAGGAATACAGCGCAACAATTCCTATGCGTCCCGGGCTCGAATTTCGGCCAAAAGCCTGGAAGTCCACTCTAAAGGCTTATAGATCACCCCACAAAGGGAAATGCAAGTTTCCCTGGCAAGCGAGGTCAAACGATACATTCTGACGACAGCTCTATGGCGTGACTCTGGATTGCTGGGTTTCTGATGGCTTTTGAGCAAGCGCACGTTTCGCTTGCAGCGAGGACTGTCCGACCTCCGAATAACGCGCATGTCGGACTGAGCGTGCATAGAACTGCCATGCTTGACTCTTGCCCCCCAACCATAAACCTGGACAAGATCCTATTGCCATCACTGAACAACATTCAAAAGCATACTCTGACATATTTAATCAGAGGACAAACGCCCAAAACTGTCAGCTTTTCTCTCAGCCTGGTTCTTCACAAAAGGAGAGCCTGACGTTGCACCCTCATGACCCATTTATTCTGGAACGCCAAGGCGATGAAACCAGAGGGAGAGCAAAGGGTCTGAGTAAATTACCGCCCCCCCAAGAAAAAACAACAACATGGAGCCCAAACAACTGAACATTCCGAGAGGAAACTCCCTTTAAAATTTGGAGAAAGGACCCCTTTTCACGGTTTCATACAGGATCCCCACTGGACCTTCATCAAACTGGGTGTTCGCTCATTTTCCGGAGCGGTGAGCTCATTTTAAGTTGCCCGGGGGTAAAACTTGGAGAAAAGGGCCGCCCTCTAAGCACCCAAGAAAACAGCTAAAGGGAAAAGGCCGCGCTCAAACCAATTCAAAGAGCAGGTGAAGGATTGCAATTGAATGTGAAACTAACACTTGGCGGCGGCGATGGCTATTGTTGCCCCACAGTTGAAAACTCAGCCCAAAGGCTAAATTGGAACCTTGACAAACAGTAAAAGTACACATAGGCAGCCCAAAAGTTCAAAAGGTTGGCTTTGGGCAAGTGAGAGAATCGTATAATTATTTACCAGAGAAACCAACCCGTCTCTAGAGGGGAAGGGAAAGGCTGGATCCCCCTGCCCACTTGCTTTACGTTCAAAATCAACTGTACCTCTCTGCAGGGGGTTAAATAAGAACACACACACACACACGCGTAAACGCATTCATCCGTAAACGCGCGACTTGCAGTGGTTTCTCTTGCAACCAAGCCCGAAAAGCATACCCTCCAACAAACATCTATGGTTAAAGCCACCCAAAAGTGGCAAAATACACTCCATTCCCACCATACGCATTCAAATCAGGATGGCGGGATGAGAGAATATCAGGGGTGTCGTAATTTGAGTGCCCTTCCCAACATGGCCATGGCTAAAACATGGCTTAACCATGTCGCAAAGGCTTAGGCTCCTGATATGATATCTCCAAAGAAGGCTCACTTTCCGGTCAACCCTGCCTAAGTATTCGATCCCCTTGTTGGTTGATAGCCTTCAAGTGGGTCACGAGCCAATCAAGCCCAGACCTCCAGTAGGGGGAAAGGGTCCGTTTGGTATTTCGCTTTAACGGCACACCCCAACCAAGGCAGCGCAGCACTGAGGGTCTGGGAAACAGGTTCCGAGTTTCCGTCTAAGGCCATACCGAACCCCTGCCAAAAAAGTTGGGGATCTGGCCATGAAGGTGTTGGTCAGGCAAATGGCGCTGCAGACCCGGCCGACCGACCAAAGTTGGGGATGTGGGGAACCCTTTTTGCCCTGCTGGAGCGGCAAGAAAAGGAGTTGGGGATATGGCCCCACCCTACCCCACCCCACCCCACCCCACCCCACACCATCCCGTCCCCCATTTCTATAGATTCAAGAGTTACCGGTTTGGGGCCCAAAAGGAAACAACAAACCGTCCAAGTGCGCTGCTCGCACATTTTCACGCTTGAACAGCCACACTGCGGATGCAATGGATGTAAAACCCCATGCTGACCGATCAAATTCTTCACCCCCCTCTGCGTGTTAAAGGGGCCTTTCACAAAGCAGCCAAACAGTAACACAACAGAGGGAGAAGGTCAGGGGAACCATTGACACATGCAAACCATGACAGTTGCGCTTTTAGCGCCACTGCCACGTAGAGTAGTTTCCGCTACTGTTGTCCCATCCGCTCCATCCGGACCAGTTCTGCCAGCTGCCTTGGCTCCAATGCTCACCCTCGCGGGCGGCGGGAGCACGTGTATCGGCATAGCGAGCGGCGTTGCGAGCGAGGTGCTTGCTGCTCTCGTTCCTCGAAAATTCAATCGAGTTACGAGCATAACGCTCATTCTGGCTGAAAATCCAGTCCATCTCGTTGCGGAGGTCCTCCAACGTGTTGCTTCGCAAATGGATGATGCCATTCCAACAACCAATGCTGCGAGGCTTGTCTTGTTCAAAGACCACGTTGATAAAAGCCCTTGGGCTATAAGGCATCCCTTGGAACATAATGATCCAGCGAGAGGTAAGCGCATCTTGGAGTTCGTTGGGCAAGAACTCCAACTCCGTCTTGATATACGCGAGCCTTGCGATTCGCGACTCCGAAGTTGATCCAAGGCCAACTCCCAGAGTGCGCTGGGCTTGCGACTGCTTTGGAGCAGCCAAGACGAGATTTGCACTCAACTCCATGCGGAGCATGTCCGCCTCCCGACGGCCCACCTCAAGCATACGAACCCTGTATTGAAGGTCGAGTTCATAGCGATCTAGCAGAGAGTGGTAGCCGTTCTTCAGAGCGGACTTGTGCTTCTTCCGGGCCTCCTGAATAACAGCACTGTCCGGGGAGTTCAAGCCACGAATGATGCTGCTACGATCCTCCTCGCGGAGGTCAAAAGTTCCCACGGATGCCAGAACCTGGGCTGTGACATGGGTGCTGAGGCCCATCTTCTTCAGCAAATTGGAACGCTGCACAATGTAATTCCTCTGCTGCTCTTTCAGCAGCCGAGGATTGAGGGGAGACAACTGCCCACATGACGAGCAGTGGACCTGCCCCTCGAACACACTGTTGTTGCAGACCGGGCACGTGGCGACATTCAGCTCAACGTTCTCCATTGGGTTGAAAGTCTTCTGTCTCTTCGCTTCCCCTTGCGGGGCGCGAGGAGACGCCACATTGGTGCGGGTTGTAGCAATACGTTCCAGTGCTGTAGATCGATCATCAACCACGGCTTGGTCGCGCTTCATCCCCTGCGATTCATCCTCATTCGCCTCAGCTGGTGCACCTGCATCCGATTGCTCGGAGCGAGTGTACCATACATCGCCATTTGTAGCGTCCAATACAGAAATAATCGTGTAATTGGGCACCTTGTCGCGCGTAAGGACGCCATCGCTCTCCGTCTTGAAAAAGCAAAGCCCTGCGCGAATGGCCATCCTGAGGTCGATCTGTATCTCCAAGGGCTTGTTAGCACGTACACCTGAGATGTAATTTACATTCGTGCTCGGAATGTCAGCGAAAAAAACGTGAGGTCTGCCTGTCTCGTGCTGGTCCCCTCCTCCTGGAAGCAGTCCGTTTCGCATTATGCTGGCGAAGTTCCGCTTATCGGTGCGATGATAGAGCACCGTAGGAGGGTTGCTACAGACGTTCCAGCCAGACCAGCGCCCGAGGTCAGTCCCCGGGTTCACGTACCACTCCTTCGCGATGCCGGAGTCGTCGATTTGGAGCCAGTCCTCATGTCCTTGAGAGGCCTTTATCTTGAAAAGCCAATGCGAACATGGGACGTCTCCGCACCGGCCTGCGTCCGGGCAACCAAGCGCAATGAACCTCTGCTTTTTGTCCAGCTTGAAGATGTCCATGATATTCTGAATATTCCATGGAATGGGATGTCGCAGCTCCTTGCGAAGCGCGAGTCCCAGGTCTTCGAGGTCCATGTAGCCGTCCTCATCCATCACGTACCCGCATCCTTCTGTTCCACGACCACGGAGGATCTTGGAGATGCACGTCAGGGAACTGTGGTACTCATTCTCCTGACAGAAGGGTCGTAATCGAAAGAGGGCTGCTTGATGATGTCGAGTCTCTTGGGGCCCTCACCGTAGTCGACATACTTCACGCCATCATGGATACTATACACCCAGCAGTCGTAGTGGCCTCCAGTCACGTTCCTCCCGTAGGAGTCGAGTGGTACCGGTCTGCTTGCCGCCTCGTCCCTCTGTGCCACCGCAGCCGCCTTTGCACCGGCTTGCGCCGGGCGAACACTTTCGGAAACATCTGCACCGGAAGGCTCACCTGAAGTTGCAAACTCGGCTGGGTTGACGGGGGCGAAATCGAGGGGCTGCCGGACCTCCACTTCTTCACGGGTGAAAGGGAGCCCGATCATCTCTGACAAAGCAACACCGCACTTCGTTAGCGTTTCCTTGCAGTACGCGAGAACCTCAACGTTGACTGTGCAATCCTCTTGGTGGCGCACCACGAGCACATCGATCGGACGCATGGTGCAATCATGCGAACGTGTCAGCTCGGCTACGCTGCCCATTGCGGGGCGCAAGATGGAAAGCATATACAACATGTGATGGGTTCCGCGCATGAACTGGACGGTCTTCGTGATGTTGTCGTCACTGAAGCACATATGATACCTGTCCAGCAAATCGATGGTCTCGACAAAGGGTGTAGCATCTACGTACACAAACATATGATTGGGGTCGCCGATGATGTAATCCCGGACTTCCGTCATGAAACGGTCCCAAATCATAGAGAAGCCGTAGAGATAGCTTTTCGCGCCGGTCATGACTCCAAGGCATGCGCAGCCCTTGCGGGCCGCGAAGTCCCTGGTCCAAGCCAGGTGCCGT